AAAATAAAAACATAGAACTTAAGGAAATTTAGGAAAATAAACCTAATCATATAAAGAAATGCATGATTTCATGCAGTAATACAGATATAAATGTCTAGATTATAAATATAACGATATAAAGACAATTTATACAGTTTTTTATAGTAATTATACAACAATGTTTACATCTTAAATGTAGATGTGTATATACATACATATAAATTTATTTACAAATGTTTGTATTTATATGTACAGCATATTGTAATATTTCAAGAAAAGTATTTTTGGATTTCATTCAATTAAGAATTTTTACCAGCTTAATGTTCTTTACTAATTCACGATTTGAACACAATTCAAATATTATGTATTATTTTGTTTGTTTGACCATACATACATAGTATGTGAAAAATACAAATGTTGCATTTGTAATATAGTAAAATGTATTACATGAAAGCACAAGCAAGAATAAAAAATAATACTGCAACAGGAAATATGATGTACACTTCCATGCGTGGGTGACAAATTGATAGAAGTAAATTAACATCATCTATTTCATACTCAAGATCATCTTTAGTTGGTATTTCAACAATTACCCTATCAGAAGATAATAAATTTATAGAAAAAGAACATTTTGTTTGATTTATACAAGACTTAGTTACATTTTCATAATGAAAAATAGGCTTATAAATATCAAATAATGCATATATGTCATTTGATACAATATCATTGTCACTATAAAAAATATAGTAATAATAACCATTTTCTACCACATTGTGTACTGCTTGCATATGTTTGCTGTTAAGTAAGTAAGTGACATCAGTACATTGTTCAGAAGGTGCAAATTCTTGAGCTATTAAAATAGAACCTCCATAACATTTAAATAATTCATTTTCAAAACTGGATACTGAAGAATCAATATCAGTATCTGTTGTATTTTTTCCTGTATTCCCTCCATGTTTAATTCCTTGATCAAGTAAAAATGTTGGTTTAACAAGTTCTTGATTTCTTTTGATTCTTTTTTTGTTTAGTATTATTGATTCTTCTTTACTATCATCTTTGCTATTTTCTTCTAAATTTAATTTTTTTAGTAATCTTTTTAGAGGCATATTTGTATTCTTTTTAATATGCACCTCACTTTTAATATTTCTTTGTGTTCTTCTTCTTTCTTGTGCTATAATATTTCTTTTTTTCTCTTTCATTTGTTCTCTGTACTGCCTCTTTTTAGCATGCCTTAATTTTCGAATACTACGTACACTACCTTTTTGTGTGGATTTTATATATTGTTGAATATTTCCACTCAAAATTACTTTTACCAATTTGTCTCCATAATTTTTCTGATTAGATGTAAAATTACCTTTTTCATGTGAATGAAAATCCATAACATCTTGATTTGTATTGTTTGAAATACCGTGACGTAAAAGTTTATCTTCCATATCATTTAGTGTATTATTGTGATTAACTTGTATAATGCTATTATTAAAAGTAATTTCTTCTGTGTTTGATTTAAATGTTACTTTAACTTGTTGATTTGCTTCTGGTAAAAATATACTTTCTACAACTTGTGCATTATGATGTTCCAACATACCACATGTTCGTAAATTGCGTTCTCCTTTAACAACAAGTATAGAAGCACCTTGAAACCTATACAAACATTGATTGTATATAAGAAGAATAATATAAAACCAACTAATATTATATTGAATATTTAAGAGAATTTCATTGTGCACCTTGAACAAACAGAAAGGACTACACTTGCTCCTTTTAAAAGGTAAAATCCCCAATACTCTAATGTATCATCTGGTAAAGTCATACTTTTTTTAAGGCGCATATGTTTCCTGTATGAAGTAATTTCTGGCTTTTGTGTCATTTGAAAAGCGTTAAATGTTCTATTCATTTGTAAAGTATGTGCCTATATAAAAGGTAATCTTATTATTAACAATAATTTATATATAATCTTAAATACATAACAATTATTTACTTTTTGTAATATTATTTTATGCATAAGATATATCTTGTATTTATATTAAATTCTTACTGAGCAAAATATTGTAGAAATTCCATCTGTAATTTCTAAGATATCAGAATCTGTTACAGCATATGCTACATTTGCATAGAAATTATGACGTAAATACAGTGGTGTTATGAGGAGTATAATTGGTAAAATAGTTGTCAATGTGCAAAAAACTAATATTCTCTTGATTCCATGCATTCTTCATAGATCTAAAAAATTATATAATTTAACACCAATTTTTTATTTCATATCAACTATTAATGAGCATGTATTATACTTTTAATATATATTGCATTGTGAGCAAAATTGGCTATATTACATCTTGCAGGTAAATGTAAAAATAAAATATTTCTTTAAAAAATAAGAAATATGCATAAATTTAAAACATCAGAATAATAAATGAATTTGTAACATATTTTCACATTTAGTGGCATTGCTAAAGTAAGAGCATTACTCATAATAATAATTACCATAATTACTCATCAATAAATT